GAAATCTACGGTCGAAAATATAATTTTCATTCATTACCCGGGTAGGTTAATGGTCGGTTCACGATTGCTTCCAACTCGTGGAGTACGGTAGAAATTCATCAGATGGAATTTTCGTGATGAGTCGAGCTTGCGCCCAACCATTCTTCTAAAAGCCACCTTCCAAGGGCAATGGTGGATAATTCCATCTAATGCCTTTCAGTGAGAAAGTCTTGGAATTCACGATTTCTTCCTTTAGGATCTTCGGCCAGAACAAAGTTGGTTCCTTGTCGGAGATCATGGTTCTTACCCTCTACGAGCGCAGAAACGCTCAGAGCAGTAAGATGTCTTCACTTGACTTCGACCATTTCCAAGTGGACGAGTCTGGTGGTCATGCAAGGAATAATGCAACCCAACGTTTGATTTCGCTGGGCTCATTTGATTTGCATTAGCATATTGCCCGAAATAACGACCCCGCAATTTTCAACGGCCGATTCCTTGGTGGGGTAGGTCGGGCATGCGGATACGGAAGGTCTCCTTGGACTACAGTGAACCAGGGTTGGTCATTTTCCCAATATAAAGGTCACCGGTTCGATCCCGGTTCGGGGCACCACTGTCACACCTGTACAAATTTGCGCCTCGATAGCCTGGGAGAGCAAACGACGGGACAGGGATACAGTATCCAGACTCCCGGTGGGGTAGTCTGTTACAATAAACGATCAAACAGAAGACAAAGGGGAAATGGGGCAAAGGCGATGGCGAGAGGCGAGCACGAATAAGGCGAAGAAGAGGGCGGAACAGACAAGCTCGCGGTGGCGAACAGCAGCGAACCGAAGACGCAGGTGTTGAAGTCGACGAAGAGCGGGAGAGGGCGGCCGCTTATATAGTGGGCACCGGGGAATAGGACCTCCGGTTGCCGAGGGCCGCAGCAAAGTGGACATGCGAACGTCGGTGGACGGGGCTTAGTTGAACAGCCATGGTGGGCCCTAGGACGCCCATAGGAAGGAGGAAGCACGGTCAACAGCACGTCTGCGGCTCGAGGATTCCGCAAGAAGGAAGGGCTCTAGCACATATTTTATTATATTTTGGGATTTAAGTTAGGAACTGAAGTCAGGGACGTGACACCCCCAACTCTTTGACCAGCTTCCCCCTGAGTGGCTGCAGTTTTCAAGGTCGTAAGCCATGTGGAATATTGGCCCAGCTGCCGATTCGAAGGTTATTTTAGATCCCAACCTTGTCGACATCAGCGCCACGATGCAAAAACCAAAAAAAAAGCCGATCAAAGTCCAAATTTTTGGAGTTTCTCAGATCGTTTTGATAATGGGTAGGCTTTGAAGCATCAGAGAAACAAGGTTCAAAGACGGGCAAGAAGAGGCTGTACAATTCTACATAATTTTCATATAAAATTTTGAAAAATTTGAATGGGGATTAGGTAAAACACCGACAAGCAATAACGCCGACACGCAAAAATTGGAATTCAAATACACTACTCGTAAGGCTAAAAATCTAATTTCTGCAGTGTCGGCATTTGGATGTCCGCATTTTCGGGGTCGGGATTTCGAATGTCGGCATTTTGCCTGTAGCTATTTTCGGTGTCGACATTTCTCCTGTTGGAGCTGCCCTTGTCACATTCTTACTGACGGTCATTTGAATGTTTGCATTTTTCACGTCAGCATTTTTAATGCCAGAGGTTGGCTTGTCGGCATTTCAGCTGTCAGTAGCTGGAATATCGGTATTGAATCGCATATCTCGAAAAAGCGTGTAGAAATTATCGAATCAAATTCGGCATCCGGGTTGACCTCCCCCAATACGTTGCCCAGCTGGATATTGGTCAATGTGGGCGAGCCGACCCAAGGTCGACATCCGCGCCAACAAAATTGAGCAGAAATTGCCAGAAATCCACAAAAAATGGGCGCTGGCCAAAGGGAAGTCAGAGTTTTTTTGGGTGTTTGAATTCGGGCGCGGGATATTGGGGCAGCTTTAGGATGTGGGCGGGTTGGGAGTGTGCGGCCTCGTGTTTCCGGGGCCAATCCTATAAAAGCCTATCAATGGCCATCGGTTCACCGGTCATTCGACGCATCCGAACACGACTTTTGGGTTCTATTCAACCCAAAAAGGCATAGACCATGCGGGTTTGAGCTCAATTTTGTCGTATTGAATCGGCCGATGGCCGGGTCTAAAGCTCGGCCAAAGTTTAAAAAAGTTTTTTTAAGTTTAAAGGGACGGGCAAGGCTTCTCACTGTGTTTTTTTAGGCTGTGGATCCTATTAATTTCCGTTGATTTTCCCGCGGTACGTAACGTAATTCATTTTGCTAAGCCGCGTGGGTTTAAATACTTATGGATTTCCTCTTTTATTTTCAGTTTTTCATGGCATAATTGTAAACCCAACTTCGGGGAAGCGGCGCGTTTGTTTCTCGTTCAAAAAAAGTAGTAACCATTTTTAGGGTATTATGAACCGATTCTTCCTCCTCGTCGCCCTGGCCTTATCGGGCTTGGCCTTGGCGGCCCGATCTGGCAAGAGGAAGATCGATTCGGATGGAATTCTGGATGAGGACGCCACTGACAGATTTGACTCATTCAAGAGCAAGTAAGTCAGAACCTACCAAAATTATCACTTGTTCATCTTCAGATTCAAGCGGAACTGCACCGATGGAACCACCGCGTGCAAGCAGAGGAAGAGAAATTACGCCAAGAATCTGAAGCGTCTGAAGGAGCTGAATGAGACGACGAATGGAGAGTGCGTTTCTTGCTCCTTGCACCGATTTCTCTTTTTTTTAGCTACGAGGTGGAGGAGAACAAGTTCATGGACTGGTCGGACGACGACATGAAGAAGGTACAGTAGTCTGAATAGAACTACATCCGTAGGATTAAGCCTGAGCCCGTGCAAAGCTTATCCATCCTAATTTAGATGGTCTTCCCGATCGACGGCATGCCAAAGCCTCAGACCGACAACCTGGACCTGAGCGACCCGGTGCAGCTGAGGAACAAGAGGGTAAGAGGAGAGAGAGAGAGAGAGAGAGAGAGAGAGAGAGAGGGAGGGAGAGAGAGAGCGAAAGAGAGAGAAATGAATAGAGACTTGAAAATTATTCCCTAACTTCAGGCAGCGGCGGCGAACTTTGATTGGCGAACAACAACGGCTGTAAATCCGATCAGAAATCAGGGCAGTTGCGGATCATGCTGGGCTTTTGCGTACGCTTTTTTGAATAGCTTCTCCAGTTTTGGAAATAAGTAGCTACAAAAATCAACAATTTGCTTACAGTTCGGTAGCGGCTCTTGAGACCCAGATGAACTACAAGAACAACAGGACGGGCGCGTTGAGGAGGTCGTATTCGGAGCAGGTACAAAAAAAATGTGATTCGGAAAAATTGTTTTTACAGTACCTCGTCGACTGTAGCGTGACGTACTGGGGTTGCGGTGGCGGTTATCCGTCGGCTGCGTTGACGTGAGTTAGAGAGAGAGAGAGAGAGAGAGAGAGAAAAATAAAGAGAGAGAGAGAGAGAGAGAGAGAGAGAGAGAGAAAGATAGAGAGCACTACCCTTTCAAAGCCACGTTTTTCAGGTACATCAAGAATTACGGAACTCCCCGTGGAGCCGCCTATCCCTACGTCAGTGGCACCACTGGAGATACCACTGAGTGTATGACTGGATTGGTATTTAAAAATTCATACCTTTTAATGCCAATTTTAGACTCTCGAAAAGCCCGTCTCCTCTGTTTCCATCTTCACCGGGAACGTCAGCCAAACCGTGACTTTCATCAAAAACCAGGGACCAGTTACGGCATGTAAGTCAAGCAATTCTCAGCATGACTTGGTAGAGTATTCCTAAAAACGTAATGTATTCCTAAAAACGTGATGTCTTACCTTAGCACTCTGAAGTAACCTTAAAGTGTCCTTTTTCAGGCTTCTACGTCTGCAACAGTTTCTACGCATACGCATCGGGAGTGTATACCGCAAACTGCACACCGAACAGCCCCGGTTTCCAAGGAGGACATGCCGTGGCGATCATTGGATACGGTAAGAACGAGCGAGAGAGTGACAAAAAAGCGGGCGAGCGAGAGAGCGTGAGAGAGAGAGAGAGAGAGAGAGAGAGAGAGAGAGAGAGAGAGTGGATCCAATCGCTTGACGCTAATTTTCAGGTACCACCGCCGCTGGTGTCAACTACTGGCTAGCCCGCAACTCTTGGGGAACCGATTGGGGCATTAATGGATATTTCATGGTAAATTGTACTATCGTTAATTTTATATTTATTAATGCGCTCTTGAGGTGCTAATTCTGACCTTTTTAGATCAAACGTGGTGCCGATGTCTCCTCCATCGAGTCGTGGGAGATCACCGGGCCCAGGACCGTACTCTTGCCATAAATCAAGAGTACATACGAAACGATTAATAATGGAAATTTTATGTTAATAAATAATTTAATTGGAATTTTAAGGTTTTGCAGATACAAAAGGCATTACGAAAGTCGTTTCGATCGTGGAACTGTGAACTTGCACTTGCCGAACACCTCTGACTCTTCCACATAATTTGATGCAAAGCGGCACCGATGATGAATGCCACAATGTACCAAAAAATTGACACAACATAGCAAAAGTTTGCATAGAATTCATTGATACACCCCCTACGGTTCCAGGATATTTCTACAATTTTTCTCCCCATTTCAAATTGGGCCTTATCCAGCATTTTAGAGCATTTCATTTTGTGTGCTTTCCATGAACTTTTGGGCTGAACGTTGATGGCACTATTTTTTATAGAAAAAAAACTTAATATCCGGAATATTTTGTGTTCGCGTGTGGTCCGGAAAAGCATGAAAAGCCCCGAAAAATATGACTACGCGAGGCTGCGTTATTAAATCCCCCGGACTATGAAGTTTTTTGTCCGTGAACATAGGATAGAGTTTGTTTTCGGTTTCCGGTATCTATAAAAACGAACGTCAAATTCATAGAAATGAGCTCTATTAATACGGCTCCCTCTAATACAGTTTTGTGGCAATTTTGAGGATCCCTTACGCACTGTAAAATTTTAGGAAAATGACTAGACCCTCGGTCCTGCTATTCCTCGGGCTGGTTGCCGTAGCCCTCGGCGCGTTCGAGTCGGATTTGGACGGGATTCTCGACGGTGATGTACTACAGAAATTCCAGGAGTTTTTAAATAAGTAATGTTAGCCAAAACATAGCTAAAAAATTAAACAAGTTCTTTAGTTTCAATAAAACGTGCGATCCCGGATCAACCGATTGTCTCCAGCGTCAGCAAAACTTTGCCAACAACTTGGAACAGCTCAAAAAATTCCCGGATTCGTCGGATGACGGGTAATTAGTCTATTTAAGTTATATGCTAATTCACGGTTAATAATTATTTTATTTTCGAAGTATTGAGCTTTTTTTAGCGCCAAATTCGGGATGAACCATTTTATGGATTGGTCGCTGGAGGAGATGAAACGGGTAGGATTTTATGATTTTGCGCATTAATGGCAATATTATTACCAATATGTATTTGATAAAAAAGTGTATTTTTGTATTCTTATTATAAATGGCATTTAAAGACTTATAACTTTTTAGATGACGTTCAACCATGAATCGATCGGCCCGATAGCTGAAGCACCTTTTGTCGGAGCGATCCGGGCCAAAAGACAGGTGAATTGTCCAGATTATTTTAACATGAAATTTATAAACGATTTTGCAATTATACATTATGACTCGTTTCTAAATAGCAAAAACATAATTTAAAGTATTATCTAGCCGTTTCCAGTCAGTTCCGGGCCCTGTCTATGAAGAGGAGGTCGTACTGCTCGACGTCAACTTTCTAGACCCATTTTTGCATTTTTCCAGCAGGGTATTGACGAAATCATTGCTTATTTTAAAAAACAACAGCATGACGAGTATAATGATTATTATTATGATGACTATAACCAGGTGGAATATAACGCGTGTAGACGTTTTTAAACGTCTATTAACCATATTAACATAAAATTAACCTAACCTTAGAATTGGATATTAATGCTTACATTATATTGGTAGAATAATTCTCAAGCTTATTAAAAAGCAACACAAAAACCAGAAAATATTTAGACGATGAACGACACTGACACCTGGGATTGGCGTACTACCGGTACCGTAAACCCAGTGCGAGACCAGGGCCAGTGTGGATCGTGCTGGGCGTTTGCGTGAGTTTTTCTAAATTTGTCGATAATATCGAATTAAATATAGTAATTAAAGACGCACAAAAATATGTTTTAGCACCGTAGCCTCGATCGAGGTCCAAACGAACTACAAGAGCAACCGGACGACCCCCAAGGATCGAGTCCAATACTCGGAACAAGTGCGGAAAGAATCTCCGTGTCTATCTCAGTAACTCGCTCGCTCTCGCTCTCTCGCTTTCTCTCTCTCACTCTCGCTCTCCCCCTCTCCCTCTCTCTCTCTCTCTTTCTCTCAACATTACCTTTTAGTACGTCCTCGACTGCGCCCCCTCCGACGGCTGCAATGGCGGATGGCCGGCCACGGCCATAAAGTACGCTACAATACCCTAAAACGCACTTTTTTTTAGTTATGTCCAAAAGAAAGGGATCACCGCGGAGGGTAATCTCAAATACACCGCTAAGAAGGCCAAGAAATGCCCTAAGGAGGTAGGGTAAAATCTATCTCTCTATCTTTCTCTCTCACTCTTTCCATGTCTCTCTCTCGCATTCCCTATCCTTTTCAGAAAGTCCAAAAGCCCGTCATCGGCCAGGTCGATTTGACCGGAAACGTTCAGGCTATCCAAAGCTTCGTCAGGTCAACTGGTCCCGCGACGGCAGGTAAAGCTATAAACGTTCCTATTTGACTAATCAAGGCTATTTTAGCCTTCTACGTCTGCAAAGACTTTTACTACTACAAATCCGGCGTGTACAGCACGGACTGCGACCCGAATAATCCGGACTATGAGGGAGGGCATGCGGTGACGATTGTTGGATACGGTATGGTGGAGATTTTGTAGGGGCCACGAAGCGCCGAGCCAATACATCTGCTATAGCTTTACCTGGCTACCTTATCCGTCTTAGGCACTAGCCCGCAGGGAGTTCCCTACTGGCTCGTCCGCAACTCGTGGGGTACGAACTGGGGAATGCAGGGCTATTTCTGGGTAAGATGACTCGCTCTTGATCTCTGTCACCTCTCTCTCTCTCTCCTCCTCTCTCTCTCTCTCTTCTCTCTCTAGCCCTCTCTCATGGCCTCTGTCTCTCTCGCTATCTCTCCCATTCGCACTCTTTCTCTCTCGCATCCACCTTTAATTCCAAAAATTTCAGATGAAACGCGGCACCGACCCGTCCAGCTTCGAGTCGTGGGGCAACACCGGCCCACACACTCACGCCATGTGATGGATAAGCTACCGTATCCACCAATTTTTGTCAAAAATAATAAAGCGCTTCGTGAAATGGAGTTGAATTGAAAGGAAACTCCAGTTCCACGTTCACAAACTGAAGCACAGTGATGTCGATGCCAACACGGTCTCTCTCGCTCTCTCTCTCTCTCTCTCTCTCTCTCTCTTTCTCTCCGACTCTTTCCGTTCACTTTCAATAGCCTTTCATTCAGGCCCAGCTAGTTAACGCATCTGCCCAACGAAATTTGGCTGGCCTGCCAAGCATGTGGTATTTTGCAGGCAAAAGGGGGAGCGGGGGAGAGAGAGAGAGAGGGAGAAAGAGAGACGGTTTCTGCATACGAGCCAGCTTTTTCGCCTTGAAGCCGCTAAAATCTTAAGCCTAATAGACTTTCTTTGGCCTGTTTCAACAACTCGACAACGGAACCGAGCCGAGCAAAGACGTTTCGATGCTCCACTCAACATGTGTTGCCCATCTATCTCCATTGCCGGGACCCTGGTTCCGGGGTTGAAAAAGCATTCGTGTGGCACTTTTTGTATCGATTTCAGTAAAACTCTTTTTGGCAGAGGCTTTTGGTAGATTATGTTATATTTATTGAAAGGTTGCATTTTATTTACTACAGGTTTTTACGAAAATTATGAAAATCCAAGCTTAGGTACATGATGAGGCCGTTGCTGATCTTGGGCTGGCTCGTACTTGCCGCTTGCGCTTCCAAGCATCATCATGAGGTAAGAATTTTAAGTTTTTAGAGCTGATCGATAAATTGATGAATTTAGAAAGACCCTGACAACCTCCTCGATGACACCGAGCACCAAGAGTTCAAGAACTTCAAGAACCGGTTCTAAATCTAAAATTTTTTATCTTTTTCAGGATTTCACCGCGAGTGTGCCGACGGTTCCGAGCAGTGCAAACACCGCAAGTAGCATTTCAAGGCAAATTGGAAGAAGATCAAGGAGAGGAACGCGAGACATGGAGGGTACATTTGAATTTTGCAATCGAAAAATTTTGCAATTTTTAAACCGCGATTCGGCACGACAAGGTTTACGGATTGGTCGGATGACGAAAAGAAATCTGTATGTAATTCAAAAGTCGTTCTAAAGGGATTTTTTAGATCCTTTTCGATCCTGATAGGGCATCGAAAAAGCCATCTGCCCATCGCCAGTGAGCAGGTCACGGCGGGAGTGGTGGTGGCGGTGAAATTGTAATTACCGTAATTTTTACAATTCCTATGATTCGCAATAGGGCAAAAATAATTTTTACAATCATTGATCCTTTAGGAAATGTTTATCATAAAATTTATCAATTTATTAATTTATAGGATTTTTGTCTTTCCATGCGGTGGTAAAAGATCATAGAATAGTCATGAAATAGTGACGTAATAAAAAACCAAGTAATTATTTAATAGGAAAGCATGAATCATTTTTGGATTATCGATAGCCTTGAAATATTTTTAGGGCCACTACAAGCCGAAATCGAGAGCCACTAGATCTCACGCACATGGTCATGGATACGGACATGACCAAGCTGCAGCTACTACTACAACCACCACTACTACCAAAGCCCCGACAACCACCGCTAGCTCTGCTAAAACTTCGACTGCTAGTGGTACGGTAGATTGGCGTACGAAAGGAGCCCTTTCTCCGATTCGTGATCAGGGATAATGCGGATCGTGCTGGGCTTTGCGCGAGTTCCTACAGTTGCTAAGACCTAAATTTTCGTTGCAGCACAATTGCCTCCATTGGGACCACATCAAACTTTGCGAACAATCGACTGAATCAGAACCGTAGGAACTACTCGGAACAGGTAAATAAGAAGGAAAATGGAAAAAATAATCGGTTTTAGTGGCTTTTGGACTGCTCCGGAAGCTCATGCTCAGGTGGCTGGCCGGCTACTGCGCTCAAATAAATTAGTTCTACGCGTTCTTCCATCTATCTGCCTCTCTCTCTTTCTCTCTGTCTCTCTCTCTCTCTGTCTCTCTCATGCCCATACGTTCAGCTACGTCCGACAAAACGGAAGTGCACGTGCAGAAGCCCTCAAGTACAGCGCAAAGGCTGCCACATGCCCAAAATTGGTGATACATCTGTTGCGTTTTAAATTTTTTTGTTTAGACCGTTGACAAGCCTGTCGCTACCGTTGTTGATTTGACAAACAATATTGCTGGAATTGAAAACCACCTGAAAAAATGTCGGCCCAGTACCAGCAGGTGAGCCATGTAGAGGTTAAGGGGATAGGTAAACCGGGCTCATGTTTTAAAGGGTCAGTAACAGTAATTTATTTTAGCCATCTTTGTCTGCAGTGACTTCTACCATTATGTGAATGGTACCTACGACAATGATTGTTTGAAAACGGATGCAGACTTTTTGGGAGGGCATGCTGTTGGGATTGTTGGTTACGGTAAGATTTTTGCTGCTCTCTCTCTCTCTCTCTCTCTCTCTCTCTCTCTCTCTAGCCTAGAATTCTAATCTAGGCACCGACAGCGCCGGTGTACCCTACTGGCTTGTCCGCAACTCGTGGGGCGTCAACTGGGGTCTGCAGGGCTATTTCCAGGTGGGAATTTTCCCAGAAAATTGGCAGATACTTACTTTATAGCTAATTCGATATGCGTAGTCTATAAAAAAAATATTTTTTAGATGAAGCGTGGCGCCAACATGTGCGACATCGAAGGCTGGGGATGCACGGCGTTGACCGCCACCAAAATTGCTTGCATTATATCTTGAATTTTGAGTTTATAAGCTTGATAAAGTGAGATGCTACTAGTGAATATCACCAATTAATGACAAGAAGCGAAACACCAACACACCGAAGAAGAGAAAAGTGAAAACCTCTAGCAGGAAAAAATGCATAAGTTTCGACTCGGACAGTTCCACCTAAACCGACCGTCTAAAGTACATTTGAATAAATTTAATATCGGGTAGCTTTACCAAACCGTAAAGCTAAAAGTTGTACAATGCTCTCTCGGGACGGTAATTCCAACAAATTCGGTTTTTGCATCCTTTCTATTGAAAAGCTGAACCGGCACTACGGCCAATCCACTAATCCCAGGGAATTTCATCGGAATTCGTTGGGACCCAGCGATCAAAGCATTGTTCTGCTTGGTATAAAAGCGCAGTTTGGTGGCCAAAACTCACCACCGATTTAATTCCGCTTGAATTGATATAGGCAATTCACCATTCTACATTTTTAGGGAAGCCATGAAGTGGGTTCTTCTCGCTGCCTGTCTTGTGCTGGCGTTTTGGGCTTTCGCGGTCGAGGCTACCGTACGTTTTTGAGACATTTTTAGAGAATTTCAGGGTATATTCGCATTTAAACTTTAAAGTACGATTTTGGAGGATTTTGGAAATCATGCGATCTGATTGTCAAAAGCGCTTACAAGCTCCTGCTCATTCACTCAATTTTAGGATGACATCGACCAGATCCTGGATTCCGAGGAAGGGAACGAGTTCAAGAAGTTCAAGTACAGGTTGGAAACTCCTCAGCCGCGACAAATATATCGTACAGGTACGGAAAAAGCTGCACGGACGGGAGTGAGAACTGCAAGAAGCGCAAGCGCAACTTCAAGGCCCATCTGAAAAGGATCAAGGAGTGGAATGCCAACTCGAATGGCGGGTGGGTCGAGGCCTCCCTTTGATTGAAACGGTGATTTTTAGTGCCGAATACGGGGTGAACCGTTTCTCGGATATGTCGGACGAGGAGAAGTCGAGGGTTTGTTTGATCCTAAATAATTTCTTATATAGCGCGACGTAAGCTTTTGTACCGAGTTACATTTGAGATCCAGGTAATCCAAAAAATACTGATGTTTAATGCACTTGAACGGTGTTCCTAAAGAGTTGCGTCCAAAATTGCGAAATTTTACAGCCCCCATTTTTCCAGACGTCGACGTTTCTCAAACAAATTTTTCGAAAAATCGAAAAAATGTCGACCTTAGGCGGCATAAAATTTTGATTTTCTGTAATGTCGACATTATCCATTTCGACGCTATAATTTTGGTCATGCTCCCGCTTTTTTAGATGGTGATGAAGCTCGACTCAAAGCCGATCGGCATGTCGGCCAACAGAGTGGGTCCCAGGGCATTTGGCTGAATAAAGAATTCGATCGCAGTAATGGCTATTTCTAAGGGCAGCAGGTTTCCCTAACCTGAATATTCAGCTTTTAGAAATGATCGGTAGCAATAAAGTTCTAGGCCCGGCGTGACGCCTTTAACATCGTGAGGCCCGGCGACGAGGTGGAGAACGAAGGGTGGCCGGTCATCGACGAAGATAACGGCGGGTGGCCTGTTATTGACGAGGACACGACAACCAAGAAATCGGGCACGACCACCACCACGCAACAAAACAACGGCAATGTGGACCTGCGGTCGACGGGCGTGCTGTCGGCCATCCGCGACCAAGGCGATTGCGGATCGTGCTGGGCCTTTGCGTAAGTTTGGATCGCCCAACACGCGACACGTTTCGTCTTGCCGCGTTTTGTACTATTAGGGGGGCGCCGAACTGCCTAAAATTGAGTAGCGGCTAGCAAATTGGAGCCCTGTACGTCGGAGGCCTTTCACAGCCTAGAGGGCGGGGAGCGCGTCACCCCAGATCAGGCTTTCGGCGAACTTTTAGCCAAATACGACGATTAAAGCACCAAAACTATTCAAGATTGAGTGAGGATATGAAAAATGAAGAATTTGCAAATTATAGTGTTTTCACAAAGAAATCGGCCACAAATAGTTTCGCGCAAAAGTCGAGGTGCGAGGGCTCTCGTCCCGCAGCGGCCGCTGGCAATTTGCCAAAAATAAAAGGCCCCTCCCAAAAGGCCTTCACTTTGGTAATTTAATTAATTTAATTTAATTTAATAAAAAGGCTCCCTTATGAATTTTGACAGTACAAATATGTGCAGCAATTTTACTTTTATATTTTAGGGCTGTCGCGGCACTTGAGGGCGCCTCGAACCGAGCCAACAACCGAACCGGCGCAAATCGTCGCAACTACGCAGAACAGGTGACGCGAAAACATTTGCATTTCATAAAATGTTGATTTATTTTAGTACCTGATGGATTGCAGTGGGCGTGCTTGTAATGGAGGATGGCCCACCCAGGCTCTATCGTAATTTTTAGACGATTTTTTCGCAAATGACTTATTTCAAGGGACATATCCCTTAGATTACGCACCTTACATTTTATTGGGTGTATTTCGTCATAACAACTTGGGAGAGCACCGTAATTAGGCCACCCAAATCGCACCTTAAAGATACATCCGCACCAACGGGATCGTCCGGCACGAAACATTGCCCTATCGGGAAATGAGGAACCCGACTTGCACGAGAAAGGTAGCACCACTGTCGAGGCTTACCGTACCACTGTAGTCTCCAAATTCATAAATGCCATTTACAGTCACCCGAATATCCGGTGGCGAGCGTGATTAACCTGTCCGGCAGGGTGAAGGACATCATGAACCACGTGAAAAATGTTGGCCCGGTGGTCGCGTGTAAGTTGGATACGACCGGACTTCATGCACACTAAGGCCAGCATCACGCTAAAATTCCGCATTTTAGGCTTCGAAGTCTGCAACGACTTTTGGTATTACACGGGGCGTGTTTTGACCACCAACTGCAAGGAGACGTCGCGCGATAATCGGGGCAAGCATGCGGTGGTGATTGTTGGCTACGGTGAGGCACGGTTTCAAAGAAAATTAGAAGCGCACACTCGACGCCGACGTCGAATTCAACTCTAGGCACCACCCCGGCGGGCGTCGACTACTGGCTGGGGCGCAACTCATGGGGTGCCGACTGGGGCCTGAACGGCTACTTTATGGTAAATACTTCGCGCTTACGGTGGTGACGTTCTCCGGAATCCAGATGCAAC